CTGGCTTAATAGTGGTAATTAGGAGTGACAACTCTTTCATTAAGTGAGACATGTGACTGCTGACTTACAGTGAAAGTTGCGGCAGTTCCAGTTAATGTTGTACAAATCCTGCATAATGGTTAAGCGCAGCTTTATGTGATCACTGTTTGCAATTTCCTGCTGGTGAGGGGATCCTTGGTGATTCCTGAGCTTAGTTATTTTCTTGCAGATGTTTCATTATCCAAATTGGGAAACATCATCATCAGCATGATGATGATACGTCCACAAGAAAACAACCAAGAACCTTTTATTTCAACCCTGAGCTACAAATATTCTCCTTATTTACTCTGCTGGTTTCATCATTGATTTTGCCTATTGGAAGTTGGTGGTGAAGGTTGCAAATGTGAAAATGGGATGCTGCAGTATTTGTTAGTTGGTTGCCAGCACCAAGTTGCTATTGTGTTACCATTAGGATGCTGCAATGACAATAATTACGAGGATCAGTTGTAAATCTTCCTGTTCAGCATTGTTATAATTGTGAACAATTGCTGAATATGTGTTCATAAACTACTTGAAATAATTTAAGATAAAAAATAGTAAAAATCAGAATGTACTCTAGTTTACTGTCCCTTAAGAATTAGTTATATATGGGAACATTGAAAATTTAGCTATTTCTCTTTCCTGTCTAACTACAAAAGTACAATATATAATCATTTTTGTGCTATGTACATAGCTCCTTTTTGTCTGTATTTCTTGCTGCTGGGTGTGCAGTATGAATATAATTCATAATCTCCAATGCTCAAGAAACCTCAGGAATTATACTGTTAAGTGAAGCAAAAGATTTTTTTCTATTCACTTCCAGCAGGTTAAGGTCTACTATAACATCCTTTAATCTATTGTATTTTATTCATGAGTGGATAAGAGGGACAGAGCTAGAAAATGTTGAGAGTAACAAATTTAAGGTTGTACTAAATGACATTGTACTGCTGGTTGATATTTGATCTCTAAAAATAATGCACACATATAGACATAATTTTAAAGAGATTTCCATGAGACAGTGGTCTTTTAATGTCTCCCATTGTATTCTAGGCATCTATATTAGAAATCAGTTTGGGAATATGATATACAAAATGTTCAAAGGAAATTGGGAATAAAGCCAGTGTATGCACATACAGAGCAATTCCTTTTAAATAGTTGATTTTTTTTAAAAAAAAGTATTATTGTTTGTTTTGTTTTATTTGTTTGTTTTATTTATTTATAGGCCGCCCTTTTCCCTGAGGGGACTCAGGGCGGCTTACAATCAAAAGGAAGGGGAGTGTAGGACAATACGAAAAAAGAAATGTGCACAAAGTAAACAATAATACTTTTTTTTA